CGAGCATATGTCTATAGGACTTTTTTTCTTAGTTTTTTACTCCTCTACACGCTCCCGAAGTTTTGCGATTTAATTTGGAAACACCCTGTATATATAAAAATTTATTAAATAAAATTTTATTTTAAATGCTCTAATGAATTAAAAAAAAAACATGATTTTGCTTTGTATTTATTATCAGATTATGTATATTTTGCGAGAATTTTTTAAAAATAAATTTTGCTGTAATCTCTTAATATTCTATCAATATTTTTTTTTTACAAGATAAACTTTGAATTTTTAAAAGATAATTTGAAAAAACTTCCTATTTAATAGACTCTGTATATTAAATAATACATTTACCACTGTTTATTGATGTTTGTTAAAATTATTAAAAATTTTTAATATTTAAATATAAACAGAAAATTTAAATATATCTCGTGTATTTTTTTATTAGTGATATTGATATTTTATTAGTAATATTGATATTTAAAAATTTCTACCGCTAATTAAACTTATTACAACGATAACTCAAAATCAGGCAGCAATTCAATAAAATTGAAAACAATAATGCTTATAACGGAAATATAGATGTTGTTTTTGAACTTGCAAACATTATTTTTATTCTTCGTCGTGTATAGCTAGCATAATAATATTATTCCAGTGGTCTACTCTACTTCACGCTATGCTAGTCATATTGAATACGGAAAGTAAAGGAAGAATGAAACTGTACTATACATGCGATATGCATGGTCAAAGATCATTGATGAAAAAAGTCGTATGTTTACTGTATATACATTTACTGTAAATAATCAGAATAAGTAAGGCATAAAATTGGCATAATACAAACGCTCGGATATTGTATCGATAAAGAAGAAGAATTTGACTCGGATATGATTCACGTGTATGCATAAAACGCTTAAAAGCTTCTATTCTTGTGCTTTCCTCTTATGGTAATAAAGATTCATGAATATAAACAAATCTTATGTGAAAAATATTGGAATTATTAACTTTAAGAATTAACATAAAAATTAAAACTCGATTATTTCTCCCTAAATTGACGGTCCAAATTTGACACGGCATGTACGCGACCATATAATGTATGCGGCGTCGGTCTCAGAATTGTGACATTGATATGAACGAGGATAGACACTAGTATCGGCGTTTCGAGCATATGTCGCACTATTAATCGATTATTGAGATGCAAGGTGTAATGCAGTTTTAAAGCAAGGCATAGTTTACTTATCAATTAGATGTTGAAAATTATACAATTAAGTGAATTTCGGCAAAATTAATCATAAAATATTGAAAAATTATTTTGCAATTTATCTATCATCTAGAACCAAAAGATAATACGAGTTCTCGATGGATATTAAAATTGTTTGTGATAATATTTAATTATAATATAAAAATCAAAATTGTATTTTCTATATATGAAGAATTCAATATTCTTTTAATATACTATACATATAGACTCAATTTTCTGTAATTACTGTTAATAACTGACGAAAGTCTTACGTTTGCTACTTGGTTCATGAAATTTTTACCTTTATGAAACTCGTCCATAAAATAGGTTTTTATTTCATCTTGATTCGGGATACAACTTTAAAATAGCTAAGCCAATTTAGCGAAAGTTTCTAGCAACTCGCTAGACACTCCTATGAAACTTCAATTTCATAGGACGTCTCTTTACGACGAATTATAGCTGTTAGTGTCGACACATACAGAACATGTATCTTCCTTGTGAATTTGATTACGTCACTGTTTATGCAAAGTTTGTTGAAAATATCATGACCTGAGCATGAATGCTGTGGCTTTGGGAATTTGCAATTGAAATCTTCGTGTTTGTCGAGGTTGCCGAGGTTGTCTAAGATGATACTATAGACGAGCGTTTGGAAAGTGGGCTGTGTAACGATCGTGCAAGTAACTTGTGGAAAGACAAAGGTGACGACTATTGATAGAACGTCAATCTTCGGTCGAGTTTCATGGTTCTAGTTCACCCTATCTTCCCGCAACTTAGAATTCGTTTTATAGCTCTCCTTCCAGGCAAACGTTTCACTGCGGGCGTCTCTATGAATTAGAAACCTCGAAACTTTGCTGAATCGAAAGAGTTCAGCACATTTTCGTTCTATTATAGACTAATGAGCACCCTGGGAATCTTCTTTCCTAGCTTTATTCAATTCGAAGACGTAAGCTCTTCGAGCTGTTTCTTTTAATTAGAAGATTTTTTATAATATAATTCAAATTAGCATATTTAAAACTAAGATCGATTTTTTACAAATATTGACAAGATTAAAGAAATTTCTAAACGAATATTATATATAGATATTATATATAGATAGATTACTCGATCAGTTGAAAGTGACTAATGCTCAATTTCTTCACCTCTAGATAACTTTATCCAGAAGATATCTCCCAGATTACAATAGAGATATCTTCTGGATAAAGTTATCCTCAACTTATCTGAAAGTGAAGAAATTGGGCATAAAATAGTCAATTGGATTATAGTGAAGAAAAACTTGGCGCGCCCGGGTTGCATTAAAATATAATATTTTAGGAACAATATGTTTTCATAATACGGAAATTATTTGCAATACGAATTAATAAAAAGATTATTACATATTTTGCAGATATACACAATGAAAACAATAATTCAACAAAGAAGAGATGTTAATAATTGCTCACTAATTTTGTAAATTCGTTATCTATGATCTTTCTATGTCTAAATATCTATAATGGCGTTTCTAAATATTATAAATATTATTACATACACTATATACATATTATACATATTATATTTATATACAAATGTCTATTATTTTTATATTTTAATTTATAATGGAAATACTGTGAGATTGAGATAATATATTCTCACAAATGCAATTAATGTGACCCGGGTATGCCAAGTTTTTTCTTCACTATAATCCAGTTGACTATTTAGTCACTTTCAATCTATCTTATATTCAATCTATCTTGCGTTATGAAATACTTGGCTAATTGCATTTATTTCGTATCCGTTTTTTATTAAAAGGAATCTAATATTCGACACTTTTTTTATACACTTGGCGTATATTTTTTTCTTTTTTAAAAAGGTATTTTTTAGTGATCGTTATTTTCTACTCAAATGTCGTTAATTTAACTGAAATAATGGAATTAAACAATGTAATTTAAGAAAATGCATTGAAAGAAGAATTTAGTTTATTATTTATTAAGTAGGAGAAGGTGGTGTACCTTTGACCAATTTTGACATTTTTTCTTGTGCAAGTTGTATTTTGATGTCTAAAAATTCAAAAAAATTCTAAAATATTCTTTGAAGTGTTGACACAAACATGCATTTTTTATAGATTTAAATTGTTATCTTTTGTACATCTTTTTTAACATTAGAAAAAAATTTAATTTTGGTCAAAGGTACAACATCCACGTTGTACCTTTGACCAGGAAATATTGTACCTTTAACCAATGTATAAAAAGAAACATGTGTATAAAAAGAAACATTCAACAAAAGTTTAATTTTAT